CATCTTCAAAGCCGGCATCCTGGGATGACCTTTTGCGCGGCCCCTCCTGGTTGCTTGATGGGGCTCTCTCCCGCCCAGTTCCGGCTCTGCCACGGCCCCGGGCCCAGCTCCCTCGAGTGGAACGACCATACTGCTGTTGATCAGGGGCCACCTCCTTGCGTTGGGCGAGCATCCAACTTCCAAACTGCCTCTGTTTTGGTTCCCACACCCCGTCTCCGCATTCTTCATGGTTGTGCCCCATGAAACCGCATACCTGACAAAAGTAAGGGATCTTCTCATATTTGACTGGGAGGAAACGACGCCCCTCACCCGTGACATTCAATGGCGTAACTCTGGTCAGGGGCTTGTTAACCAGCACTCTTGCGCGAACTCTGACATAATCTCCCTCATAGTAGAGCTTCGGAGCAAGTACCACCTCCTTAACTCTGCCAATTCGGCGAGCAAGTTGATCCACAATTTCTGTTTTACGATACAGATCAGGTATATTATGGATTTGTGCCCAAACATAGAGACCATCAAAGACCACTGATTCCGGGTCTGACTTGCCATCGTAATCCTCGATCAATAGACCCATCCCCTTGAACAGCCATGGGCCGCCATGAACGACCTTCTTCCAGTCTCCCAAACAGAACATCTGGAACACAAACAGATTGTCGCCTGCCTCTCTGAACTTCGGCACCTGCGCTAGTCCCCAGATCGATTTCAGTGTCTCGAACATAGCAGTGGAACTAAAACGGCGCATCGTGTTCAGCTTCCCGATGGCCATCCACCGTGCCTCCGCCTCAAATTTCCTCAACTCCTCCTCGCCTACGACCACGTCATCCAACTCCTCGTCCTTCAGATCGAGGTGCTGAAGCATCTCCTCCAAGTTCTTCCCTGTCCAGCCGGCCGTCGATGAAGATCCTCCCGGAGTCGCCATCTAGGGTTAGACCAGGTAGCAACCCCGCGTGGAGAAGGAGGCTCCAATCCTATCCTCCCAGCAGCAGCCCAGGGAGGGGTGCGCTAGCAGGGGGAGGACCGGCAGCCGGGTAAAAAACTCACAACGGCGATGAGATCGCCGTCGGAGGACGAGAAACCCTAAACGAGAGGGTACGTACTGATTCCTCCGTCGTCCGTTACGTTGATCCTGCCGAGCAACGTGTGCCCCCACTTGGCCCATTGCTTTGCCCCCACTCAGTCCCATTTCCTTTTTATTTTCAAAGGCCCATATATTATAAATCTGTTGAAAGGCTATAAGAAGCCCACCACCAAGAAACAGCCTACACTACGTCGGCCACGAACGCTATGAATCAGGCCTCTAGTCCACGCACGTATATAAAAAACGAACGCATGATACGGCACCCGTGGAGCCGCCCGAAACTGCCTATCGCGCGATCGCGGCATCAGGCAGTCTCCGGCTCGGCTCGCGGCCGGCAATCAGCGACTTGCCGTCGCCCATCTCTCACGCTTGTGCGCCGCCGCCGCCGCCGCAACACAACCTCATCACCCATTGTGTAATTTCAGCGTTCTACTCCCTCCGTTTTCAAATACTTGTCTTTCTAGACATTTCAAATGAACTCAACATACGGATGTATGTAGACATATTTTAAAGTGTAGATTCACTCATTTTGCGCCGTATGTAGTCACTTGTTGAAATCTTTAGAAAGACAAGTATTTAGGAACGGAGGGAATAATTCACATCAAGTAAGCCATATAGTAGATCATTAGGGTTCTTTCTTTTCAAAAAAATTTGTTTGTCTGCAGTTCCTTTGTAGAAACTTAGTATTATTAATTTATGTGTATAATTTACCGATTTAGATGACTAGATCAGTTTAAATGATTTTGTTATAAGATGTAATGTACTTCCTCTGTAAACAAATATAAGACCATTTAAATCAAAATTTTAGTACCAACTTTAATCTAGACCGACAAACCCAAATTTTCATTCGGGGCGTCTATTTTTCCTAGTTCCCAGCACACTTAAACTTCGTGTACTATGTTTGGAACCTTGCCAATTCATTTGACGTTCTGCTCTTTTGGCACTTAAAGTTACTGAGAAGCTAATGGAGAGTTTTTTTATATAAACAAACTAACAAGCACTAAGATGTCTGAACTTGTTGATTTGAACAAGCTTCCTGTGCATCCATCAAAACGGAAGAAGATTGCATACTACAATCCCAATCAACACAATGATATTAGCCTCATCCTAGGAAGATTAAGCCAATGACAATTGGGAAGATGGATCAACATATTAGCTTTTAGAAAAAGAATTGCTAGTTTTTTTCCTAATGAAGTGGCAGTTAAACATTTTCATGAGGTGAAAATCGCCGTGGTATGAAACGAAAGTATTGTGTTAGAAGCTCTTTTTCATTTGTATAAAGGCACCCTTCGATGTTTTCATTATCCCCTTGTTTGATAATAATTTTTTTCTTGCAGGTTGTAGGTTCGATTGTTAGACAATGTGTCGATGTTCTCTTTTGTGACTAGGAACAAGATGTAAGTCATTTTGCTTCAAATTGTTAGTTTTTATTTCTTTTGGCAATAAATTTGGTTATCTCATGTACAATGAAGTGAGTGTACCTAGGTTTTAATTTATAAGGACTGTCTGTCTTGCTAATTCATCAATATGGCCATACATTATTGCCCCCTCTCAATTTTTTTCCTGGGTCCGCCCCTGTAGGCGGGCCCGTGGTTGCTTCGCGCCAAAACCACTCGCCCGGACGCCCCCAACGTGCCGGGTTCGGTCTGGGTCCGCCGGCGCTGATTTCGACCCAGGCCGGTGAAAATCAGGCTCCATCAGACTCCTGGGGCGCGACAAGACCGTTTTTTCGGCGCCGGCGCGAAAAAAGCGCATGAGGAGGCCGTTCCGAGGGTGCGGCTGGAGATGCTCTTATTATACCATGCAGACTCGTTCGGTGAAGGAAGGCCGGCGCGGCTTTGCAGAGGTTGATCCGGTGGTTTGATTGCATAGTACCAAAAACTGCGCGGATGTGGTATAGTCAACAGTACTCGGCGGGACATGACGGAAAATGCTCAACAGTGCTTCGCGGAAGGTCGCTGTCGTGGTGCAGCGCGGCGCCTCCTCACCTCAAAATCCCAACCGTCCCTTAAAATTGACGTGACATTCAAATGCTCGCAATTCCTTTTTTGTAAGTGGTGCGGAGGACAGGAGCAGTGGAGGGGTCGTTGGCAGGCCACGATCGATGGGATCGATCGACAGAGCAGCGCCTCGGTCGAAGCCGTGGCCGGAGTAAACTTTTGTTTGGGCGGTCGGCCAGTGGCGCACGCACGGGCGGCCTCGGGCCGCGGAGGCATCCATCGCCCCAAACCCCGCGCACGGCGCCTCCTCCCGCTCTCTTTTCTTGGATCCAACGGCGACGAGAGAAAACAAGGACAGCGTTTTCACGGCGCTCCACCAAGAGTTGGCACGTCACAAAACCCATTTCTTCTTCAGTTCACGGGTTGGTTGATATAGTAGTATGTGGTGTGGTTGGCCTGACTCCGGACCAACGCCATACGGTGGAGATACTTTCAGTGACCATATACTACCAAGTTGCAAGCCTATTGGGTTTCAAGTGTAAAAAAAAAAGTAGCAGGAAGCCATGCAGATGCAGATGCGGTCCGTGGCCAGCTGCAGTGGCGCAAAAGAGGGTACAGGGAGAGCAGCCGCTGCGCCGCGACATGTCCCAATCGGTGTTCCGTGGGTCGGTTGCCCTGGCTCTGAATTCCCGGCGATCGGTTCGCCCCCGCGCCGGAAAGGGAGGACACAGGAGTTGAGACGAACAAGGCACAAGATTCGCCCATTTCCGGATCATGCAATCAGTCGCTGCCAACACCAACTTACGGCCGCGGCGCACAAATGCTTCCTTGTCCTCTCCTCTCTCCCAAACAACCGAATTTCGACAGCTTATTACTATCATGTGTCGTCGCCTCGCCTGCTTTCCCTTCCCTCACAGCAGATGAGACGAGGATATATATACATGCATCGCGTCGCATCGCACGCGTGACAAAACTGTTCTTTTTTGTTTTCTTTTCACCCGGGTCCCACCCACCCCAACCAACAAAACGCTGCGAGTTTCGCAAGAGCGAGCGGCGAGACCAAATAAATGGGTTGAGATCTGAGATAATCTATCTGTTTGTTGAGTTTTAAAAACATTTCCCCCTCTTTTCAGATTCAGAAACACTAAAAACAAGACGAAAACCCTCGGCTCTTGTCGCCACTCCCTACTTCCTAGTCCGGGCCATCAAGGCCGCGGCCCACCGACAGCACAAAAGGCAGCCACATGGCCCCACACCTTTATCACCGACACGCCGGCCCCACGAGCCCCGGCCCCACCAGTCATCTACGGTTGGTGGGCGTCGCTGTTGGCTGTGCGAGCCAGCGCAGGCGATCCGGTGGGCCCGCGGCTCCACTGGGGCGCCCGGCCACTGCAGCAGCCAAGCCAAGCCAAGCGAGCGCCTCTCCCCTATCTCTATCTATCTAATGGCCGGGAAGACATCCAAAGAACTCGCCATAATTCCAAACCACTGTGCCGCTGTAGCGCAGCGCTCCCTCCTCGTCCTCCCTCAAGAACACGGAAAAAGATCGGGGCTTTTGGGTTCCGGACACCAAGGATTGGATATTTATTCTGTTTTGCTTTGCTTTGACCGGCGCGGCGGTTCTTGAACTTGGGATGGAGTTGCAGGGGCCGGGCGAGGGGAGGGGAGGCGGCTTCGCCTGATGTAGATTTCCCTTTTCCCTTTGCCTGCTTTGTTTATTCTGGCTCTGGGCGTTCACATCTCTCGCAGAGCTTTCGTGATCTGCCAATTGGAGGCCATGCGCGCGGGCCAAACAGGTGCTTGCCTTTCTTGCTTTTCATGATGTTGATTTGCTCTTTTCATGGCTGTGCTCGCCATGGATTGATTGCGTGTGGAGTTGGGTTTTCCTTCGGGGTTTGCGAATTTGACGAAGGGCAATTTGATGCCAGGTTTGCTGTGCGGGAACAAGTGATCGCATTTCGAGGCGGTGGTTTTAGGTGGAGATGAAGGAGGTGGGCGAGGAGAGGTGCCTGGACCCGCAGCTGTGGCACGCCTGCGCGGGCGGCATGGTGCAGATGCCGCCGGCGCGCTCGCGCGTCTACTACTTCCCCCAGGGGCACGCCGAGCACGCCAACGGCGGCGGCGCAAGCGCGGCCGCCGAGCTCGCGGCGGCGGTCGGGCCGCGTCCGCTTCCCGCGCTCGTGCTCTGCTGCGTGGCAGGGGTGCGCTTCCTGGCTGATCCGGAGACGGACGAGGTGTTCGCCAAGATCCGGCTCGTGCCCGTCGGCCCCGGCGAGGCGGGGTTCCGGGAGCCGGAGGGGCTCGGCCCGCTCGGGGGCGACCCGGCGGAGGCGCGCGACAAGCTGGCCTCCTTCGCCAAGACGCTGACGCAGTCCGACGCCAACAACGGCGGCGGCTTCTCGGTGCCGCGCTACTGCGCCGAGACCATCTTCCCCAAGCTTGACTACAGGGCTGACCCGCCGGTGCAGACGGTGCTCGCCAAGGACGTGCACGGGGAGGTGTGGAAGTTCCGCCACATCTACAGGGGCACGCCGCGCCGGCATTTGCTCACCACGGGCTGGAGCACCTTCGTGAACCAGAAGAAGCTCGTCGCGGGGGACTCCATCGTGTTCCTGCGCACCGAGCACGGGGAGCTCTGCGTCGGAATACGCCGGGCCAAGCGGGTCACCTGCGGGGGCATGGAGTGCATATCCGGCTGGAACGCGCCAGGGTATGGGGGGTTCTCGGCCTTCCTCAAGGACGAGGAGAACAAGATGATGAATGGTGGCCCCGCCGGTTACGTCAAGGGCAGGGGGAAGGTGAAGATCGACCATGTGGTCGAGGCGGCCACCCTTGCGGCCAACAGCCAGCCATTTGAGGTGGTGTACTACCCGAGAGCTAGCACGCCGGAGTTTGTTGTCAAGGCCGCGGCGATGCAGGCTGCCATGAGGATCCACTGGTGCCCTGGCATGAGGTTCAAGATGGCCTTTGAGACCGAGGATTCCTCAAGAATCAGCTGGTTTATGGGGACCATATCTTCGGTTCAGGTTGCCGATCCACTCAGATGGCCGAATTCACCATGGAGACTTCTTCAGGTTTGCCCGATCTGATGATATCCATAGTTGCACTCCATCCTTTCTTCTCAGTAAAGATGCATAGTTACATGACATGCAACTGCAAGGTGTGAATGCAGCGCACCATTTACACAACACTTCTCATTCAGATGCCTTGAATGGTAGTAGTAGAACTTAAGGTACTACTAGCATGCAAAAAATGACCAGCTTTCCGCACAATGTTGCCAAATTAATAGTACTAATTGGTAATAATAATGATCCCGAACCCCCTGATATGAACAAATCATCCTATTAATTAGTTCAACAACTGGCGTAGATTTACTGGAGTAAAATGTCACATCCTTCTTCGATTCCTTCTGACTTTGTATGAATTAGTGGAACAATCAATAAAGCTGTTGTACATAATTCACAATTGCATAGTAGTTATGGAAGAAAAGGCTTGTGGTCCTTTAGTAGCTTTGCTGGTTTCCAAATTTGGATTATCAGTTTGCATGTTCTTCTAAGTAGCTCTCTTCTTTGTCAGTAGGCAGCTCCTAAACTTATGTATTCCTTTTAGTTCCCCTAAAAAAATGTATTCATTTTAGTATAATATCCTAATTTCTTGAATTAGTACGCCACCATCAGTTGCTCAAATTTCACAGCTTGATGTTCGGTCTTTAGCACCCAACGTGAAGCTTCCAAAGGGCATGGGAATGCTTGGCAAACTTCTAACTAGAAGCAGAATCGTTTAGCATGGTTAGATGTGACTAATGTAGATGAGAAGCTATTTGTCTAATCACATTAACCTGGGATAGGGCAAAATTGTACACAAATCTAATGAAATGCCGTACACACTAGAAGCAGAATCGTTTACGTGCAAGAATCTACAAGCTACATCATCTGTCAGATTTGTTCAGTTTCTCTCATGGAAGTTGTCCCTGTACAAATAGTAAGAGGGCAGCAGAGAATTGAAATAGGAGTCTTCATTGCCAACAGCTTCGTTTCTGGGCATTCGTTAGTTTCAAAGCCCATCTATCAGGGCTCCATGCTAGTTCTTTCAAAGTTTTTTACAACCAAATTCTTACTGGCACCTCATAAACAAATGCAATAAAGTTCGGTGTAGAATACTGCATGTTCCTGTAATAAATACCTGATGTTGGTACTACAACTATTAAACTTCAAATATGGGTAGTGAATTAATATGATCATGTAGTATGACGATGATCCATGTATAAACTGTTTGTGCCGAAGGTATTTGATCCTCCCTCTACTTGAAAGTCCTACCGCACATTTGTCTTATCTGATCAGTCCCGTACTCCAACCATCAGGTTTCTGTCTGTACCTTGGGTAACAGATGCTGAACCACTGAAATTGGTACATTTGGCAGTTGAACATAACATGCTAGCTCTATGTATCTATTGTTTTTAGCTCTCTCGGCCGTTTATGCATATTGCTACTTCATGGAATCTTATCTCGACGTTTATGTTATCCACCTACGTAGGATAGTGAAGGGTGTCTTACTAGTAATAGTGAGATATTAGAGGTTTATGTTTCCATCATTATCATCAGTTATATATCAGATTTAATACGAAAATGAGCCATCAATTTTAGTTGGTGTTGTGATACTTTGCGCATTTTAGTTCTACAAGCACCAGGGTACTTTTTGTTTAGTCGATCACAGTAAATCTCTTTATTAACATGTTTCATGGTTGCAAAATCCTTGCAGGTCACATGGGATGAGCCAGACTTGTTACAGAATGTGAAATGCGTGAGCCCATGGCTTGTGGAACTTGTATCAAGCATTCCACCAATCCATTTGGGACCATTTTCTCCACCACGAAAGAAGTTACGGGTTCCCCAACATCCTGATTTTCCATTGGATGGTCATCTGTTTAATCCAATTTTCCATGGGAACCCACTTGGTCCTAGCAACAGCCCCCTATGCTGTTACTCGGACAACAACTCTCCTGCAGGCATACAGGGAGCCAGGCATGCTCAATTTGGTTTACCATTAACAGACCATCAGCTTAATAAGCTGCACCTTGGTCTGTTCCACGGCGGCGGTTTTAACCGGCTTGACGCTCTAACCCCGTCTTCCCGGATACCTAAGGGCTTTGTGCTCAGCAGCGCACCAGCCCACGACAGCGTCTCTTGCTTGTTGACAATCGGTACACCACAGAGCACAGAAAAATCTGTTGACAGAAAGACCCCACATATAATGTTGTTTGGAAAGGCTATTCTTACGGAGCAGCAGATGACTTCAAGTGGATCAAGGGAAACACTCTCCTCTGGGGCTACTGGAAATAGTTCACCTATCAGTACTGGGCTGAAGGCAGGAAATACGTCTGATGGTTCTGGTTCATCAATCTGCATTGGATTCTCATCGCAAGGTCATGAGGCTTCCGACCTCGGACTGGAAGCCGGGCACTGCAAGGTATTTATGGAATCGGAGGATGTTGGTCGCACCATCGACTTGTCTGTCTTTGGTTCATATGACGAGTTGTATGGCCGTCTGGCTGACATGTTTGGGATCGAGAAGGAAGAAATCATAAGCCATCTTCGTTACCGTGACACAGCTGGTGCCGTCATGCACACTGGAGGATTACCATTCAGGTGAGAAGTCCCTTATAGTATGCACAGTATTCTTTAACTCGTTGTGCGATAGTATCTTCTTCTTCATCTTCCAATATTGCAGTAATGCTGTAGTGATATATATCTAATTCATTCTGTTCATGCAACAGTGACTTCATGAAAGTGGCACGGAGGCTGACGATAATAAGCGGCGAAAAGGGAGGGCTGGCGAAACCTCTCATCGAATGCATGGTTCAGCGGGTGTGATATCTTGATGAGCTCCAGCATGAGTTCCATTGAGAAATATTAAACCTAGAGTGAAGGACTACTCTCCATATGCATGCGTTTTATTAGCGGTTTGTTTACCCGTGCTGTCAAGCGGAACTGCGTCATCGTTAGTACTACAATCTTGTGGATTGCTTTTTAATATGTACTCACTGTATTTGTCTGTTAGCTGCTTGTTCAGCGCTGTTGATCGCCCAAGTTAAGGGCTGGTCATCCGGCGGCTGAGTTGGAAGTGTGCTTCTCAACGAACTCTTGGACGGTTTTGCTTTGCTTGGAATAAAGTTAAGTTTTCAGTTGGGTCTTTGGAAATTAATTAAAGCTGGCGCTGCCTGGGTAGATGAAATGTCTGAGGGTTTGATGAGAATTTCTTGGTGTTTTTTCTTACCTTGGGACGTGTTGTTTCTTGGTCATTGTTGTGTCTTTTCTGGATTGTTGTGTTCTTTTCCTGGAAAGCGAAAAGGTCTTCCCGGGCTTGATGAACAACTTGCGATGGTGGTGGTACGAGACTACGAGAGGGAGGCTAGGGTGGCGTAGACGCTATAGGCGTGACCCATCCATCGCCGCACGGGGTTGTCATGCGCGTTCCGACGTACTCCCTCCGTTCCAAAATAGATGACTCAACTTTGTACTAACTTTAGTACAAAGTTGGATCATCTATTTTGGAACGGAGGGAGTAGCTATCTTTCCGTGAGAGAGACACGACCCTGTTTGTTTTGTTTTGGGCGGGTAGTTTGGCCGAGCCGAACCTCGGTCGGAGCCGTGACGCGAGAAAAACGGCGCGAGGAGGAAGAGGAAGGGGGCCACACTCGACTCGACTAGGCTGGACATGCCTACCGGGTGATTAATTGGAGGCTGCAACGTCGTCCTAGTGTGGTGTTGGTGCTACACCGTCGTGTGGTGGCCTGTCACGCTAGGGACGGTACCGGTTATGATCGAGGCCGTCCTAGGTTGAGCTGTTTAACTGACACAATTGCTCTGTACCACCGTGTCCGTGATGATGACCATGACCATGACGCCGGCCCCATACTCGCATAGCTCTAGCGTTCCATAAATTCCTAGGGCCTATGTAGGATGTAAACGGCGTTTAGCCCTCTTTTTTTTAGGATTGTTTAGCCTATTTATTATTATTGTCTAACAGTTCAAGGAAGGTTTTCTTCCTGGAAAAACAAACTAGAGTATCGATCGAGTTAACTAAAGAGCCTTGCCGCTGTTTATCGCGCCATTTACATCCTGGGTTCATGGTTACTTTTCTGCCTCTTTTTTCCTTTTCATGACGCAGGGTTACAATTCTGATTTTTTTTCGTTTAGCATGGATAGTGTCTCCCGAGTATTGGGTATTGCTCATGACGATCAGTAAGATCCCACTCGCTAACAGCAATCCCATGTGGGACGGCCTATTAACGTTGGGCTTCGTTTCCTGAGCAAGTGGTTAACGGAAGGATCCTAAGAACTTATAAACCAGTTTTGGAAGCTTTCAAGCCGGCTTTCTTCCTGTTTTTTTTCTCATTTTCTTTCTCTGCCGGTTTTCTATTTCTTTCTTCCTATTTTTTTTCTCTCATTTTCTTTCTCTGCCGGTTTTCTATTTCTTTCTTCTTGTTTCTTTCCTCATTTTCTCTCTCTGCCTGTTTTCTATTTTATTTTTCTTTCTTCATTTCCCTTTTTCTTTTCATCGTTTTTTCTATTGATTTTTTTCTGTGGTTCAATTTGGAAATAGTTTAAACAGTTGAAAATATTTTAAACTCATACACTTTCAAAATCATGAAAAAAGATCAAAAATATTGAAACCGTTAACATTTTTCGAATGCACAAACATTTCCGAAATCAGAACATTTTTCGTATTTCCATACATTTTTTGAATTCACAAGTTTTTTAATTCATGATTTTCTTTCAATTTGATTTCTTTAATATTGTCCGATTTTTTTAAAAAAATGAACAGTTTTTATGCCGCGGACATTTTTTGAATTTGTGAATATTTTATGAATTCATAATTTCTTTGAATTTGTGATCATTGTTTGAATTCGATTTCATGAACATTTAATGAATTCGTGAATACTTGTTGAATTGCAAACATTTATTGAACTCACTAACATTTTTTTAATGCATGAACATTTGCAAACTTCCAAACATTTTTCGAATTTATGATATATATATATACTTTCAAAATTTATGACATTTTTTAAAATTTGTGAACATCTTATTGTTTTTTTCTTAAATAATGAAAATTTTAAACCGATAGAAATGAAATGGAAAAACGAGGAAATATGTACTCGAATGAGTATCCGCACATGCATGAGCGGAGCTAATGGCCACTTCCGCGTTCACCCTTGGCCTACCCCATTAATTGCATCTTGTTCGCGATCGCTCCATCTTGGAGGCGTTGTTAACCTTCACGCGAGAATGGGGGAAGCGTCCGCCCGAAAATGTACGATGTGTATGAAAAAAGTAGTCATCAAACATAAATATTAAAAAAAGTTAAACATGTATAGTTTTTTTAGGATGTATACGTAAAATGTAAAAATATGCATGAAAATGTAAACATATATTAAAAAAATGATGAAAACAGAAGAAAAGTTAGAAAGAAACACCTCAAATATGAAAAACCCAAAGAAAACTCATGAGAAAACAATGAAAAACAAAGAAAAACAAATTTTAACTAAAGAAAAACAAAAAAACTGATGAAATCTAAGAAACAAACGAAATAATTAAAGAACATAGAATAGAAATAAAATAATAATAAAATGGAGAAATTAACAAAGGAAAAACCGAAAAAAAAGGAAAGAGATAACTGTAAAAACCGAAATAAAATGATGAAAAAAATGGAAAAACCCATGAAGAAACAAAAAAAGAATGAGAAAGAAACAAAAAATAAAATAGCATGACGAAAATGCAATGAGCAAGCCAGGGAGCAGAAACGGAGGCTGGCTCATTACTGTACAAAGCACGGGAAACCTTCAACGAGGCACAAGCTAGTCTTGCTGTTAAACACAAGGTTTTAGGAAACTGCACGACACCCGTAAAGGGGTGTGGCTATCTCATATATATAAGGAGTACACAAGGTGTACGATACAATATACAAGACTTATACAGAGGCTACGTACAAATATAGTCTAACACCCTCCCTCAATCTTAACTATGCCCTGGGGTACAAAGTACATTAAGATTGCGCCTACAGCCTACAAACTGAGGTTGTGGTAGAGGCTTCGTGAAGATGTCAGCAAGTTGATCTTTGGATGAGATAAACTTGATAGAAAGTAGCTTCTGTGTAACACGTTCCCGCACAAAGTGATAATCAATTTCAATGTGTTTGGTCCGAGCATGAAACACCGGGTTGGATGATAGATATGTCGCACCAATGTTGTCACACCAAAGGACAGGTGACTGAGGTTGAGGAACTCCCAACTCTCTCAACAAGGACTGTACCCATATGATCTCAGCTGTAGCATTGGCAACTGCCTTGTATTCAGCCTCAGTGCTACTCCTGGACACCGTAGCTTGTTTACGAGCAGCCCAGGCGATTAAATTAGGACCAAAGAAGACAGCATGTCCCCCCGTGGATCGCCTGTCATCTGGATTACCAGCCCAGTCTGCATCTGAAAAAGCTGAAAGTGCAAAAGACGGCGCTGGCTGAAGAAGTAAACCATATGCTGCAGTGAGGCGTACATAACGAAGAATACGCTTCACCGCTGACCAGTGAGTAGTCCGAGGAGCATGAAGAAACTGACAAACATGATTGACTGCATAGGAGATGTCAGGCCGAGTAATGGTCAGATACTGCAGACCACCAACAATACTGCGATACTCAGTAGAGTCATCCGAAGTGAGAGGATCTCCATCAAATGCAGACAAATGATCAGTAGCAGACATAGGAGTCATGGCATGTTTACACTGTAGCATACCTGCCTTGCGCAGCAAATCCATAGAGTACTTATGTTGAGTGAGTGTCAAACCAGCAGGAGAACGAGAGACTTCCAAGCCAAGGAAGTAATGCAACGTGCCTAAATCCTTCACCGCAAAATCACCACTCAAGGAGGAGATGAGACGATCAGCAGCAGCATCAGATGAGCTGATGAGAATAATATCATCAACATACACCAGCAGATACATCGTCACCTCAGGCCGATGCAGAAGGAAGAGTGACGTATCAGCAGTGGAAGGAACAAATCCCAGGGACCGAAGAATAGAGCCCAACCTGGCATGCCAGGCACGAGGAGCCTGCTTCAGCCCATAGAGCGCCTTGACCAGACGGCACAGATGATGAGGGCGAGCAGAATCCACAAATCCTGGTGGCTGACGCATGTAAACCTCCTCATCCAGAACTCCATGCAAAAAGGCATTCTGAACGTCCAGCTGACGAAGAAACCAGCCTCGAGTAACAGCCAAGGATAACAGAAGTCGGATAGTCGTTGGTTTGATCACCGGACTATATGTATCCTCATAGTCAAGACCATACCGTTGTTTGAACCCTTTCGCCACTAACCGTGCCTTATAGCATTCAATAGAACCATCAGCATGCCTTTTAACTTTGAAGACCCACTTGGAGTCAATGACATTAACACCAGAGACCGGAGGAACAAGTTGCCATGTACCATTTGTCAATAACGCTTGAAACTCTTGTTCCATAGCCTGTCGCCAATGAGGGATCCCAAGGGCAGCCTGAAAATGACGCGGTTCAGCCGAAGGATCTTCCTTCAGATGAGCAACACATGCTGCAAGCCACGCCACCGTCCCATCTTTGCGTTGCTTGGGACAGAAAATGCCAGACCTGCTGCGCGTGTGCGGCCTCTGAGCAGCAGCAGCCGGTCGTGACGGAACCAGAGAGACCGGTGAGGCATCAGGCGACGAAGGCAGTGACGAGGCAGGGCCAGACGACAGCACGGAGGCGGGCGACACCAGCCCAGGCGATCCCGGCCCAGGCGAGGCTGGTCCAGGGGAGACCAGCCCAGGCGACTCCAGCCCAGGGGAGGCCGGCTGCTCCACGCCAT